TACTGCGTCCAACCGTTACATCACCTTACCTCATTTCTTTGATAAAGAATGTCAATACCAGCTCGTTGACCTTATTGATAAAACCTGTTGAGGTTTGAGTTTCGTTATAAGGACAGCTCCGTCAGGCGTATTCTGTAACTCGTAGCCAAATACCTAAACGAGGGAGGAACATCAAATAAATATTTATTGATAAACATAAATTGCTACGATATTATCAATTGAAACGTTGCATAAATGACAATGTGTTCAACGTGATGAACCTTTTCCATCACTGAAAAAGGAAATAACGAGTGATATACATATATTGGGAGGTACTAGTTATGCATTGTTACATTTAAAAACATGAAGAAGAAGAACTTATTGGTTAGCCATGTAAAGGCGAATACAAAGTTGCCAAAACAGTGCTGAAGTGGATGGCGGATTTCCGAAACGGAAGTACCAACACCTTCGATTGACAACAGCAGCCCAACCTCCGCTATAGACGGTGCTGCCAGAGAGAAACTGAACAGTGTCGATCGCTGTTAGCTCAGTTGATTCGAGTGTTTGTCAATTGTTCAGAATCCCCGGGTTCGAATCCAGGTCTGACCCCATCGTATTTTCCCTGCCTGTTCTATTATCGTAGGGCTTTTTGAAAGATTTTAAGTTGGTCCAAGCGTTATCACTGAAATTTTAGTATGCTTTATGCTGCGAATGAATGTTAGAAGTTTTATGCGTGTTAGCTTGGTGCTAACTGGTACAACTGACTAAAAATGTTTCCGTGCGGAACTTGTGGGTAACGACTGATGTAATAACAGGAAGTATGTGTGTGAGGTTTGTTGTAAATACACGTTTATATGATAGAAAAAACACCTTTCGTGACGAATAAGGATTAAGATTAGGAGACCTCACAAAAACCGTATTTGATTTCCAAAGGTATTTTGTAAATTGTATGTTCAAGAATCTTCAACATAAAATGTGTCAAGCGTACAATGATAAGTCGTTAAGCTGTTTAAAATGACTGTGTACAGTGAATTAAATTTCTGTCTGACGGCGTGTTTACAGCCTCAGTGATATACTATAACTACTGTGTCCGGGGATTTTACACTGTGATATCATCTTAGAATGATTCCACTGTGCATATGGAGGTGTGTAAGAAATAAGGTTTCACAATTCTTTTCTATTATATTTCTATGTTTCGTATTTCCTATTGTTATAAGTGCAACTGTACTATTGCTAAGGATATCAGACACGACCAAGTGATGACCTGGGCCGCCTTCTTTTATCGCGATAAAAACGTTTGATTCTATTGTAATTCAATTGTTCGTTTGTTAAATAAGGTGAGACCTAGTAATACAATCAGATGCTGTTTTCAGGAGAGCATTGAGAAAGCCATGCAAGTCCTGCATGAACTTTTTCAGGTCTGCCAGGATTTACACCAAACATGTTAAATTTAAAAACAGATGAACCGGTTGTTCCGCATAAACGACCAGGAACCTGGAATTTAAAACCCTATACCCGGTAATTTTTCTAAAGGCGTCCAGTGGGGGGTGACCTTATATTAGCAAACTATTCGATAGGTTTGTTGAATTGATGATTGTACAGGTGAATTGGATAGTGGATAAAGAAATGTGCTTAGCTTCAATGATATCTATAAAACTGTTTGGGAACTTAAAGTCGATGTAATGAAATTAGCGATTAAATCCGCTACAATCTAATTGCCTTCCAAATTATTTAATCAAAAAATACATTTGCCCTAACTTAAATTTAAAATAAAATTACGAAGCAACTAGACTTTTGGCTGTATAAGTCGTTTTTTGCTTAAGTCAGGAAATATGACGCATGCGTGTTTATAGGTAATAAAAAATCCTTTTTTTAATTGTTTAAATAATAGCAATAACAACGTCTGAAATCCTATGTACCCTATCATATCGCTCCATGACGCAGCATGTGTAATTTTGAAACAACAAGAAAGCAAATTCAACTCTTTATGAATCCGTTTTGGGGCCTATATATACGTATTAATGTCGACCAACTCGGTCAAATATATTATATCCTACCTACAATATCCCCTTACAGCGAACCACAAGATCAACACATGTAGGCCAGAGACGGTACTAGCTGGCCGAAACATACAGGATTAAGCTGGTTCAGACCTGGTAACTTGTGGTTCTGCCAGAGCATTTAAAACAAACGGGCATTTGAAAGCTATTCATTGTTTGGTACGTTCTCCAGCTAATCAATAGACCGGTTAAGTTGATTAATAGGTCTGGGCCTAATAAAAAGAAAACTGCTGTTTTATTTTTTAACATTTGAGGACTAGTTGAGCTATACCCAACAACAGTATCTACACTTATGTGACCGTTCGTTTTGATCTTTGATAGTGGTATCAAACTTAGTTAATTATGTATAGGTAAAGGTAGCATAAAGTTAGGTTTGATTTTGTTTGTATGAGGGTGAACTATTAGGACTTGTAATAGAAACCTTCATTTCGCATTCACATATATCAAAGATGAGTGCTGTATTTGAATTACAATAAGTGTATTGACCACATCGATCAATGTACCTGAGCTTGAAATCCAGGGCACTACAGACTCTCCTACTACAGCAGCTTACCTCGATATTAACTGACAACATGAAACACAGGGATAGCTTACTACTGAAATGAAGGATAGGCGAGAAGATTTCGATATCCGTTCGTAAACTTTCCCTTTCTGTAAAGTTACTTCCCTACATACGGTATTCAGATGACGCAGTTGATTATAATTTGACTTCCGTGATAGATGTTGACTGCTGACGGGAAAACTAACAATATAAAAATTTCCAAAGAAGTACAAGTTTTATAGTCGCCATCAGGATATCATTGATAAATATGTTATCTCTTTGTGTGATGTGAAGGTCGATGTTCTTTATTATGCTCATCAGCATAGCTTGTTTTTTCTATTGTCATTACCCCAGTTCTCCCTTTGGGGACGTAACATATTTAGGATTTGACTTAGATTTGGATGGCGTGTGTCGTCGAGTTAATACGGAAGACACTTACACATCTGGAACATCTGGAACATCTGGTCTTATTCTTCTTGTTCTTTCAATGGTCTCAATGTAAATATTTCCTGTTTAAAATTTCTCTTAGTTTTATCGAGTTGAGTTTGAATAACAATTCTATTGATTCTAGGGTATTTTCTTATTGTTTTTTAATAGGTACAATGTAATAATGACAGTATGGTTTAATATGGGCACTGGATCCCAATGAAGAAATGTTCGTTGGATGAATATTACTGAAATAATAATCTTTGAGATGGTACGTTCCAATACTGTGCTGTGACATTGCACTAGTATCTTACCGCAGTGAAGCTTATCTATCACTACACTAAAGCACACTCAATATTTGAATACAGTGTCCACCACTTTCTACTTCAAGCCTTGTGTTGTTTCTCTGCCGAATGCATATTGTACATGTATTTTATCTATAGTCATACAAAAACAATTTTATGTTGCATGCCTTTTTAGGAAGTTAGAACGTTTGACATCATTTCAAATGTCAGGACCGATAGCAAAATGGAAACTCTCTACTCAGTTAAAAGTTAAAATGTATGGAGATTGTTAGTAAATGCAATCGCAGATATCAAAGGACTGAGTGACTCACGAGGATACCCAAAGCTGTATTACTGCCGAACTGTGTGCATCCTCACTCAAATTGATGTTTGATACAATATCTTGTGTGATATACATGATGTAAATAATCATTAGTGTTCATTCTGGTATCGTAGCATCTTTCTAGTATCTAGAACATATGGACTCTTTCTAGCATTTATGATGGTATGAAACACAGTTCTTTTAAAACGTTTTACATGATGCACGGTAGCGCAACTTTGAGAATATGTTTGAACGGAAGTGACCGTGCATCATGTAATCTGTTTAAACGGAACTGTGTTTCATACCATCATAAAGGTTGAACGGTGCATTTTAGCTCTTATATTTACTTTCAGAACAGCAAGCAAAGATAATATCATTATATCTTTCTTTGTAGTCTTAGTTCCGCTGGTCGAAAACTATTTGGGATTGTTATGATTGGTCCCCAACTGCTCAAGTTGTTTGACGGAAAGACCCGAACAGTTTCCGTTTGGCAAAGATTAATGCTAATAGTTGTTGCTGTATATAGAACATAACAACAATGTCGGCTGGTAGGTTTATCTAAGCACCTTACAAAGAAAATGTAAATATTTTATGAACATTGACGATTCCCTGGCCAATAAAACTGCTCCAGTCAATAATTATCAATTGTAAGAATGCGTTTGTCAATTAAAAAGTATGCCAAGCGTACTATCTGGACTTTGATATCCGGACCCACCTTATACGATCCCTTACCGCCTTTAAACATGTTTTCGTATTTTTGATGCTCTATTGAATCAAATAACTACCGCCAGAGTGTCTTTTTGACAAGGTGATAATTTTTCATACAATTTCATACAGTTTAGGAATTTAGAACATTCTAATTGTGAAAGAATCACAAAACTTGTCATTGATTGATCGTTAAGGTTTTGAGGTTTTGAAACCAAGATATGAGTCCACCTGCTTATATGATTTTGATAATTATAGTTATTAGATATGTATCTGATCTAATAGGATCAAAAATTGTACTTGGGTATCAAATAGTGTACATACTTAAAAAAAAGGAGAGCGTAAGTATTAAGTAGTAAGGATGCCCGTACCACTGGCAAAAACTGTAACTACTGTATGAACTAGCATGCAGAAACACTGTTCAAAGTGTAAAAATGCATAGGGGTGAGACCAGGATTAAAACCTCAAACTTCTCATCTTATATCGGTAGTGTGACAGGGCTAAGCTACTTCGTCGACTAGGCAGCTCATTTGGTTAATTCAAAATGAAGGAGAGTTTACTGTAGGGAAACAAAACCAACAATGGGGTTCTATTGTGTCTTACCTGCTGTGGAGCGGGGTTCCTTAAGATTAAGTGTCAAATTACTCCGATAAAATTTCTTTCTTAATAACGGAAGTCCATCATCATAAAAATACACATAACTTTTATTGATCATAGTCAGCATAGGCAGTAGTCATTAGCGTACATATATTGAATACAAAATATACTATATGTTAATATAAAAAAACACTGGACATATAACAGGTTTCTAAATTGTAGTTGCTTAGTCATGCTTCTCGTATAATTATTCGTATAATGCGTCAACCATCGGATTTAATGAAGATATACTGTTCTTCTACTATGAGGTAATTCTACAGTCTACGTGAACTCTCCTGAACTATAAGCAAATCAGAAAGTTCATCAAATATGTATAAAAAAACACACAAAAAACCTATTCCGATAAGAATAAATGTTAATACATCAGCTACATCCTAAATATAATATTGGTATATATACTGTATATTTTCAAAATGAGTATGTAACTTAAGTCACTAAAGTGAAAAAAAACATGGTAACGAAAGGAGTCTAAGTAGCCCTCGACAGAAGGTAATTATGTGCTTAGTATATTATACAACGTACCACGGAAAACTCTATTGACAGGCAGAATATATTTCATACCTGGTATAGTCATGTGGCTATCCAATCAGTAATCTAGATTTTATCATGTCATCTTCTCCATGTTCATAATATTCTTTAAACAGGCATCTAACACTTCCGATCATTTATTTTGTCAGACATGACACACAATCTATCTATAGTCCTTCGGCTTTTTAAATCGTGTCAAGAAGGCTCCTATACCCGAGGCGATGACCAGTCCTCCCCCAATGTAGAAGGAGAACTTCCATGGATCCTTCTTATCTATATCCAAGATATCCTCTGTAATGAAATGTGACCACTTTTATACATATAACATGTTCCTGCAACGTCTGATTCCCTCATACTAATATCCAGCTTACCTCCCCTTTATGGACCAGCTACATTGAAATAGTCCAGATTTTTCGTAAAGCAATTAATAACAATGATATAACAAAAGCATGCCTTCTGTCGCCTAAAGCACGCCCAAACAACAGTTTTTCAGTCTGGTCACATTATACACGAGCAATTAATTGTTATCTTACTTAGGTTAAATAGGAAAAACCATGGCCCTTTTATATATATAAACACACCAAGTGCATTGTACTATAATTTACTGGGTCATCTCAATACATAACAACATGGAAATATTAACTTTATATTAAATCGGCGAGAATTATCATTCGTCCCTTTCTGTTTCTACGTTCCTTATCTTCTGCCTTCTTTATCACTTTCTGTACGTGTTATATATATGAGGTATTTTGTACATGCTTTTTAACTATTTACTTACTTCCTGCCAGAATTTTCACTATTTGTTAACTTCGGCGGTTTTATCTCTATATATCTGGAGGATTTATAACTATTCATGTTGTACCTTTAGCTAATTTAAACACGTTTTGAGTAAAAAAAAATAATTTTCCACGGTCTTAATCAGTATTGATTCACTTCTGTATGTGATACTAACATCTGTTACCTTTCGTATCTTAAATCATTCCTTCTGCAGATTCTATCTCTATCTGTAACCTTCGAAGTATTTTATAAAAAAGGATTTACATTCTGCATGATTAGAACAACAATACTGAGATACTAACAAAACCACAGTTTGAAATCAAATCGATAAAAGTTTGGCAAATATGAACAAAACATTATTTATATTGGAAACCCTTAACAAAATACAAGGAAAATAATACCAAGTGTTCCAGAAGGGCACACGTCTTATGCTACATCTATGACATCCGCAATGTAAATTTAAGTCGAATCCAAGAAATGCCACGTCCTCGCATCGAGAGCACGTGTAGTGAGAACAAAACCATACCTATTTTGTTACTTTCTGCGTGCTTTATCAATATTTGTTTATATTTTGCAAGTTTGATAAGTATTTTGTTACCTTCTGCAGGGTCTATAACTAATTCAGCGAACCCAGCAAACAATCCGAATAATCCCTCCACGATACGGACGTGACCTTTACCAAACGCATCCGGTATTGTGTTGTCTAGCAGCGAGTTGAATACTCCTGAAAAAGAAATAAATCATTCAAAATATGTACAATATACTGCTCATAGGTACGACGTCATACCGAAGTCTAAAGATTTTAACAGCAAGTCTTGAAACTTTTTGAGCTACTTCAATTTGTTAATCGTTAACAGTTCTGACTTCACTCGTGTAACTGACGCATCAATTATAAATAATTATTGTTGCATTATAAACCTTTGTTGAGGTCAATATGTGGCTTTATCATCTTTGTCCTCGGTTAATGTGTCGTCAATAGAACCACGCATGACTTGACACATCAGGCTACAACTATTTCAAATGAACATTATTTTGTGAAGAAGTATTGCAATGTATGATTTTTATCGGCGTTAAACCTTTTTGCATATATTTACGACAGTTTGCAGTATTTGTTTTTAATGGAAATTAAAACAATTCAACAACCTTTGCTGAAACCAAACAATGCTCCGAATGCTGCTACCAGTGCGAATGTCTCGAGTGACGGAGCGATACAGCCCAGTACTCCTGCTACAATGTTGAGCACACCAACGACAATGAGTACGGTTCCTACTTCCCGTTCCTGCCAGCAGCAGCAGCAAATCATCAGAAACAGGCCAGCAAGTTCGCCAAGGTACGGTATCACAGGGGCTAGTATCTCCGTGTTTTTATCTTCAATTTTCACATTGTCAAGTAACTCCTCGTATTGATTTATTGGCAATGGCTTCCCTGTTGATAGTTAAGTAATTATCATGAGACGAAACAGTTTAAAACAAAGGAGTGTAAAATAGCTAAGACATTGTGAACAGGACAAGTCAATTAAGACAATTCAAAAAGCCCAATATCGATTTAGACACTTTGAATAACACAATCTCAATCAAAACACTTTGAAAAGCACAATGTCAATTTAGAAACCTTGAACATTACAATATCAATGTAAACACATAAATATTTGCATTTTATTTGCTTCAAGCGACATTTACGTAAAAAATCATGTTTTAGGAAATCAACAGTTTCAAGCGTTTCGTTATACTTATCTTTATGCATAACCCCCCATCACCACCCACCTAGTAAAGTATACGCGGAAACTACATTAACAAACAATTATTATTTCTAAGAACTGGTGGCCTTTTTTGCACAGAAATTATTGATTTATTGAGTGAGTGCGCATGTTACACTTTGAGAAAGAATTTGTTGGGTTTTTGTTCATATTTGACCGAAAACACATTTTGATCATATGTTTATGCTCCGTCAGTTGTCTTGTGTGGCTGATTAAGAACACACTTCTAGCTTAAACACTGTCTCGTTACGTACCAAACTGGTCTAGGAAGACGATGACGAGAAGGAAGTACAACACAAGGTCCTTGAACAGCTTCCAATCCACAAGCCCTACCACATAACCAACATAGTTCGTTCTACTTTCTGAACTCTTCAATTCGAGAGGCGTAAGAGTGGCACAGCATACGGTAGCGATACCTACCGGGATTAGCTGATACCTGAAATTGTGTCGCCATTTGAACTCTATCTCAATATCTTTGTTGAAAGATGGCGCCAAGGAGATTAAAAGCATTCCAATGACGCCAAGGACCTCTCCAGCTCTAACTATTCCAATGGCGCGGATTCTCTTTGTCGCAAAATATTCCAGAGGGGGAACAATTGCTGTGAGCAGGAGGAAGGATGATCCCAGAGCTGTAAACACAGAATGTATAGTGTTGTTTAACATTCGACCTCAGTTGACCGGACCTCGCCTAGCTCAATGTTACACCAAGTACTTCCGATATTTTTTTTTATATTTCTTACCACAATATTCAGTAAACCTGATGTTGGCTCAAACAAAAAATTATACTTCTGCTACAATCAAAACCGTGTCGGCGTCAACAAGCCGTGTTCAAAAAGAACACGCCTACAAACCGAACGGTTGTTTTAGCCACATTCAAGTCATGAAACTTGGCTTTAAACATGTACATGTAATGTAAATTTTACATTTCCATATACGTGTATGCGTAATCGTTAGTTGACAAAGCGCGCAAACAACAAGTCTCCGAAAAAGATACAATGTTGTACACTGCTTTTGATATCAAGGACGACACCGACCTCAAACGTTCTATCAACCAATCCACGAGCCAGATACAGTGAGTGACACGCTGAACCAACCGTTCGGTTTGTAGGCGTGTTCTTTTTGAACACGACTTGTGGACGCCGTAACGATTTTGATTGTAATGTTAAAAAAACTACAACTGTACAAGTAGCGGAAAGTGTTTTACGTGCAATAATATTAAAACTGTTGATTTCTTGAATCGGGTAGGGTGTCCTTTCTATAACGTGCATACCTGGTTTTTGGGAACACGAAATTTGCTTTTTATCTGAAATTCATACTTGAAGCCTATACAGATTATCCAGCAAATGCCCATTCACTGTCAACCCAGTCCTCGCTAACAGAGGCTATTCTTTAACTTAGTTTTGACACAGATAACACACTTTAGGTTACACACTTTAATAATAATAATAATATACAGCATTTGATATAGCGCCCTATCTAGATAACATAAGCCACTCTAAAGCGCTTTACAGTACATAGATATGCAAATTGACAAATTAGCATATACATTAATCAATACATTTTTGAGGATTTCGGAGAAGCTGCCTTATCAGGCGCGAACAACTAGTCCTTTGTCACCTGGCTTATATCTCCCTATGTGTGTATGCCTGCGTGTGTGCTGGAGATGTAATGTGTTATGTCTGGAATGGGACCGTGCTTCCAAAGGCAACATTTATAGTGCCATCTCACTTGAGTGCTACAGTACATATATCAAACATCCATCCAAGACCAATTTATACTCCACCTGGGTTGTTGGAGTTGTGTGGTCAGGAGAAAAACAATTTCTCCGAATGGCCATGCGTACGACGACTTCGGGGATCGAACCCCGGCCGCCTGCGTGGAAGTGTGGACTCTTGTGCAAACTAGGATAAATTAACAACAACAAACAGCATTTTTATCTATTAATGCAAAAGAAAATCACAAATAGCTCGTTTATCAGACAGTCCGAAAACCCCCCATTTTAGAAATAATACTTGTATTGCCCACAGGATTTGAACATGAATTAGCGATAATACACTCTGGTAAATTACTGTCCTAACAAGGATCTGTAATTATACTTCCACGTATAAGAGTCTGCTGATTACCTGCCAGTCCTCCTAAAAGAAAGGCAGCAAAGTCTTCCTGATCTTTATCTAGCCAGGACGCCACAAACAGCCCTCCACCGTACATTATACAGCCAGCGATTCCGACCACGCGGTAACCAAACAACACCATCAAGATGGCGGCCACCACAACTGTAAAAATAAGTCGAAACATTTTCAATAATTAGAAAAAAGCTACTTTATTTGTCTTGGTATATATTATTATAATCACAGTCGCTATGTTCAATAACGGCAGAGTAAATTCATAACGTTAAAGAAAAAATAAATATAAATATTAAAAATGTATCTTACCTCCTAATTTTCTTACAGCAAGGAATGCTTCTAGGATGTCACTTGTCTTCTCACTACCGAATTCTTTGCTGAAGTCCCTCGAAAAATCTATCAATACTACCACTACAGTATTGCACATATTGAGGATGAAGCATGCCAGGACAATCATCCAGGACCGACATCCTCCATCTGGGGGGTTGTACACCGAGTCTCTGGTGGCGGATGTCTCCAGCTCCATGTTTCCAACCTGCATGGTCTCTACCGGCTGAATTTAGACATAACACAGGTAACACGAAGCTAAAACATATGTAATCTTTGTATAAAATGTGCGGTTCTGTGATAAACAATTCAATAAAAATCGTGGTTTGTATTGTTTATGACAACAATCAATAACAACACAGTGTTGCTATCCTAATTCAGTACGCTGGAAGGCGTGCAAATAAACCAGCTACCGTAAATATTTCATGACGGCGTTGTTGTGTCTGACATTAACCCACTTTCGCACAGACTGCAACAATGTGCCTGGTTGTAGTTACTTCAGTTTATTTATCGATTCATAATGTTTTCTGCATGACTCAGCGAAACAAAATGAATACAGACATACCACAGTTATCAAAACTAAAACATTTCACTGTGATATCTTGATAACAAGTACCAGATACACGTCACGCTACTTACAATGTACCTGCAATTGAAAATTGGAAGAAAAATGAATATATACCATAAAGGCTGGCAAGACAAAAAGTAAACCATTCATGGGGGTTTCCTGAAAAAGGATGATTCCACAGCAAAAACAATACTAACATCTCTGAAGTTACTACACACAAGCATTTAGGTATTTTTCTCTCTGGAAATGGTCATTGGAATGACCACATCAGTTATTTGATATCTAAGATTTCACCTAAAAATAAATATATTACGTAAATTTAAATTCTCTTTGGACAGGTATAGTCTCCAAACTATGTACTACACTCTTATTCGACCTATATTAGACTATGGCGATATCTAATGGGACTACCTTACTCAAGCTCAATCTGGATTATTAGAAAATCTTCAATTAGAAACAGAAAGCATAGTCACTGGCGGCACTAGACTCACAAGTATAATTTAACTGTATACTGAAACAGGTTGGTACCCCTCGAGGAAGGACGTAAACAGTACTAGCTTATTCTTTTCCACAAAATGGTTCCTGGTCTGGCTCCTCAATATCTTCAAGATATTCTACCTCAGCGTAACCCTAATTACCACAACCATGATACTCGCACGGGAAATAATTTTCGTCCACTAGTTAGTCATACGAGTCTCTATAAGAAATCTTTTTTTGCCATCTGTCATCAGTATCTGGAACTCCTTGCGTGACTATGTCAAGAACGACCCTTCAATTTATAAACTTAAAAGCTATCTGCGCAAGCCCGCTCACAAAATTCAAATTTTCTACTTTAATGGTACCAGACTGGGGCAGATACATCATGCTAGATTAAGAATGGAGTGTAGTTCCCTTAAGTTTTATCTATACCAGATAAATCTAATTTATATTCCTCTGTGTTCTTGCATGCAAGCAAATGAAACCAATGAACATTATCTTTTACATTGTTGTCTTTTTTCTCAACTACGTTTAACGAAATCAACCATCCACTCTCAACTGATTTACTTTTGTTCGGGAATGATGAGCTTACAGATGACGAAAATGCTTTAATTTTTTCATCTTTACAAAACTTCATCATCCATCCTAAGTTCTAACCATTATACAACGATCCTTTGTTTCACATCACCTATTTCCTTTCCTTCTATCCTTATTGGCACGGGCATCTATATTTCCTCCCCCGCCCCTCCCCCCCCATGTACCCCTACCCCTCTTCTTTTACTCACATTTCAAATATCCCCTTGAGCTACGTTTAAAAGTAAGTTACTGTTTTAAGTGTTTATATTTCTTTCCATAGAATTCAAGAACTATGCCATCATGTCTTAAATTAATGAGATAAATTCTCTGAAACGGATTTATATAAGTTATTTCAACTTGTGTCCGCATCCCAATCCTCTGTACTTTGTATGTTATGTGATGTAATGCAACTTAATTTGGAATGAAATAAAGTTTATATTAAAAACAAATGCAGCAAACATGGTTTAATCTTTACTTTTATCTGAGGAGCAATAATTCGAAACAGGAAACAATACTGTGACAATTATCACACAAAAGTCATAATTCATACTTGGTAACCATTTGTATCAGGGTTCTTAAGTTATGTCTTGGTACAGTTTGCAAAGTCGTACGGTAAAGGACCAATATAGATCAATTGTCAACAACAATAAGAAAAACATCTCAGGAAGAGATGAGAGGTCAAAATCAAGGTGCAACACATAAACACGTCCAGATATCTTGATTAAAAAAGAAAATTCAAAGAGACAACTCAAAATATTGTCAGTAGCGCCATCTACACAAATACCAAGGTGCAAAACAATGCAAGACAACCAAACAGCACGATGATTGGCCCAATGTTGGCCGGTTAATCATTTTACCATTTGTCGTTTTACCGACTGAATGAGGTTCTCATAAAAGCAGGATAAACGAGGCTAAGCTGGATGCTGTATGTTAGCAAGCTCCCTTCATCTGCCATCGAAATCATGCAAAACAGCAATAATAAAAATCGTTGTTCTTGCTTTGCTAGTCTCGTTACAATTTGTGAACGTTTTGTTTTGCTATATCAGTAAATAACCTACACATACACCTTCCATCAGCTCTCATACTGACTTGAGACGGCGGCAGGTGAAATATGGCATTAGGACTCCGACCGGAGAGTGCGGCAGTGACATTGAGGAGCTTTCGAATGCTTACCAAACCTTATGAAAAAATAATAGATTTTTTTTAAATTTTATTCAAGATGTTTTAATACAAATAAATATAACAAAGTACAAGCAAATACAATCATGAAAGGGCGTTGTAAATGTCGAGGATATACATACAATGTGTTTATAATCTGACAGCTGTTTATCTTATAGAAGGGGTTCCGTGTTCTCAATCTTGTTTCAATTTTCATTTCATCATGTTCATGTTTCTGTTAGTTATGAACAGGAAATTATATCTTATAACATTAGAGACAGAAAGGCATAGAAGAGACTTCTTGTAACTATAGATTTAATGTTTCTTTTGAAATAAAATTATTGATATGGCTAGTGTTGTGATACTATTTCTAAAAAGGAATTCCTGAAGTATAAACAAATTAGAAATGGACAAGAAGCAAATTGCTAAAGTACACAATCGTAACTTTGCTATTTCCAGGAACAATGCACTATTTTTTTCTACACTTGATATTAAATGAAGTCTATGAACGGTTAGATGTTAGGTTTAATGTAAAAATAAAAGCGTATTTGAAATGTGGTAATTTTAACTGCCAACCATTGAACCTTCCTATTTGTTATGGTTGTAAAAGTACTTACGATCTTGTTTACTCTGAAAACATTGTAGTTCCAAAAAGATTGCATAAGGTTCAAAGTATAACTGGGAATCTTTGTCGCTCTCTGTCTGTCTATCTCTCTCTCTGTCTCTCTCTGTGTGTTTCTCTCCTTCTTTCTCATGTTTTGAAAACCGTTTAATAACGGAGAACGTTTGCCTCTATTCGATACTTATGTGTAAACTCATCAAGTTAATAAAGTGTTTTTATCCAAGATTTTAATTACGTCATTCAATGTAAATTGATAAGGTCATTTGATGTTAGCAGGACTGTGCCACTCCAGTTTGAATCAAAACGAATATATAATTAACCCTGATATGTTTGTTTTTTAAGAATTTCTTTTTGATATGCTTCATAAATTTTGACTACCCCACGCTTCGCAGAAACCCTTCCGTAATAAATCATTGCAATTTGATCCATCACATAATTGAATAGAATAACATTCTTTCTAGAGAGACATTTTAAAATTAACTTCCACCCAACCTAGCGTAAGAGAAACTATGAAATCATGTTAACCAATTACAACCACCTGCTATACTTTTCTGAATTACATAATGTGAAACCATTGCATCCAAACCGGATGTGTTTCGCGAGTTTTCAAAGGGAACATTTCTGAACCAGTTGATGAAGCTGCAAAACAAAGGGAAGTGGGCGCAATCGACGAGATGTTTTACGGTTGAGTCACTTTCCAAACTTGATTGATGTACTGAATAATTTCCTGTATGATAGATACATCTAAAACAAAGTTTCTGCATGCCCCTGAAATGAGTCGCTTTACACGTTTCTACAAGGCATCATTTTCTTACGTATCTTCCTCGTAGGAGACACTGGAGAAATTGTAGAATCAATCTACTGTCCCCATCGTGACACTATGAACTTCTATCTTTTTTGTTCTCTAACTAAATCTGCTTTTCGCAGACGTCTCCCTCATAAGCCAGTTATCAAAATAATTTCCAGGACATGTCTAAAAATAGTACTTGTACGCTCAGTGGCGTGTTACCTGATCAGGTATGTGGGCCAAAGCTTATATAATAATTATTCATGAATCATGATATCACATGTATGATTTTTTTCATAGAAATTAAATACAAGAAAAAAAAATGGAATATTAATCCAATAAACATAAAAAAATCTTTTTTAAAATATAGGAATATCTAGCTTGTTCACGCATCATTGAAAGTAATATACTGTAAATACTTTTATTTCACAAAATGAGTCTAAAAGCCAGATAAGTAATGCTAATAGTATTCCATAAATCGTGGCATATCAGTTAAGTAGTTAATGTACACGTGGCATGTTAACTTTTGAATATTAAACAGCGACGCATCGAATTGTTTTATTCTTCTGAAATACAACATTCGTTACCCCTTTCTAAAACACCTCCAATATCAAATCATAAACATCTAAACATGCTGCTTCAATACTTTTTTTAAATGAATTGATTTATGTATATAGAACTGAGAAAAAAAATATTTGAACAAATGTATTCTATGAGACAAGGGCTCGAATTTTCATTCTAGAGATTACGAAACAAGCGTTTTTACCGTATCTGCTTTGTAATTTTAACATTTCATATCTTTGTTCAATATGGAATGCAATAATATGATAAAACATTGGTACTTATTTTTATTTATTTTTATTTTTCGGTAACAGCGTTTGCCTGTACCACGTTTAGAGAATAGGACTTAAGTTTGATATGATGATGAAACGTTAATTTCAATAGCCCAAAAGATGATACCTAAATGCGCTGTGTGTCAAAAATGCAAATACTTTTCTGATTATGGACAGAATGATATACAAGATTTGCCGAAAGAGAAACCAGAAAAGTTATTACATTGTAATATATAATGTTTTTAGACTCCAATGAAAGCTTTAAATTCAAATGTAAATCATTTGTATTTTTGAATTCAATGTTTTACTCAAATGTTACTTGACAAAAGTCTTTTGGTATTAAAATGTTATTTATTCAAATCAATGTTACATTTTGCATTCAAAAGATTTATTTAAGACCAAATATTTTTTTAATCCAAATGTAAATGTAATTTTACAACATTTGACGTTGTCATATTTGTTTATAATCTAAAGCAAACATTAAATATTATTTCACACCCAATACCTTGTCCCTTCTTATTAAATCCGAGTAAATAATGTACATTTGTCAAGGATAGGTCCTTATATATATTTGGAGTTTACATGTGAAGCAGCCAATGAATATGAGGTAGAAATGCTGCAAAATTTTCCAGCGCGGTGTAGCTCTGGAATCGTTCATTAAATCAGCAACGTCGAGCGTGCATGTGGTAATTGGCTGGTTGGGTGCATGTGGTCATTAGCTGGTCACTGCCGCCTGATTTCGACGACAATCCCCGTGTTTTATATAGCAGTCGATAGCTGACCATAAACAGGCAACCGATCAGAATTTTTGAGCCTGCAACTATGGTCAGTTTTAGTGGACTAGCAGGGTGGGTACCTACCCACAAGTTACCAATGTAAGGTAACTATATATGTCTCTATATATAGAACAAGAACACCACAGAAAAGGTATAAATAGCTTAACCGTGATACGCAATCGTAACACTGGTCAATAATGTAAACACCCAGTCTGTTTAAGCAACATTGATTTTATACATAAAACGATTATTCCTGAAGGCCACAGTTTTCCGTTCTACTTATTTTGTACATGCACAGCATTACATTAGATTATCTCAGTTCTTGTCACATTGCATCATAGTATGAATGAGGCGAGTTTATAAGTTGGTACTTACCTGGGCTATGGGCTGTGCCGGGTAGCTGGGAGGGGCCTGCTGTGGATAGCCATAGTGAAAGGCTGGGTTGTGCTGTCCCTGTTGTTCCTGGCTAGGATAAGCGTACTGGTAATGTGGAGCCGCCATATTTGACACGTCTGTTTGATTTTAGTGTTGATATTCCCAGTATCTAGGTGGTACCCGTCCCTTTACCTAGTAGAAATTGATCGTATGGAACATGACCTACTTAAATCACCTGACCTTGTAAATACAGCCACACGTCGGCTTAAGATACTCTCTACGCTCTACTGCACAAGACTGAGGAAAGGGCTGTAGAGTGTATAGCTCCGTTATAAATGAGCGGTTTTCTCCCTTTTTGCCGTGTTAGGTTCCAAACTGAGACAATAAAGACAGAAATAATTGTTATTTAACCATAGTATCAACCCTAAAAATATAGAATTTATGTTAAACATGAACACTATCTAGGCCTACTTATATTAAATCACTACGTATATTTACATGTGAGTGTAATATGAAAAGCTGATTGTATTATTGATGTTTAAATTCTGTTACCTAACCTGCTGTCTCGATCGGTGTGATTGTCGGTCTATAACATACATGTATGTTTTTGATGTAAAGGTGTTTCTGTAATTAATACAACAACGAAAACGTAAATGGTTAAACGAAAGTAACACTATAACACAAAACTTGCTATCTCAGTTTTATATGTACTATATTAAACGTTAAATGCCAATACGGCGGACGACAAACAGAAAAGAACGCGACAGGGAAGAAGAGAACATAAGGGATCTTGCGTGTTGACATTCATAGCAAAACAAAGTTTACTCTTATTCAAGGACAGTAAGATGATATGATCAGCCAGGTTAGTATTCTCACCCTATTCAAAACGAAGAATTCGAATTACACATTATCATAACGTGTTAAACACACGAGGAAACAATAATGTCCTGATAAGTAAACTAATTAAATAGAAAAAAAGATATACCGATAAAATTTATATCAAATCGTAAACAATACCATCAGAAAGAAACTATTATACCACAAAAGTCAAAGCGTCTTTAGCAGCATTGTAACAAATAAAAACACGAAAAGAAATTGTTATCAAATTATGAAAGTTTGAAATGAATCTGATGGTGAGAAACACAGTTCTGTTCAGACTAATTCTCTAAGAATTTTGTTGCATACCATCAAAATATTTCAAAAATCATTTCAATCCTTATACATGTATTTACGTCAAACAGAAAAAGGTGTTTGATATTTCTTTGTGGTTTCTTTCGATTTAGGATACATCTTAAACAACCTGTGTTGCAGGGGAAATGTATTTTGTATAAGTCAATCACAATAATTTAGAAAATTTCGTCATAGTTTGAATTTGTTGGATGAATGAGGATGAATGACACAGAATTTCAGTTTTTCTCTTTTCATTGCAAAACTCATTTTCCAAACATCTTCAGAATAACAGGTATGTGAGAGAAATGGCTCGGCGGGTGTTTGACCAAGTTGTATTTACTATGCATTAAGCACAGATAACTCCCTGTTTAAATAGCTAGATGAATGTTCTCAGCAGATTGATATATGTTAATAATCTAGTCGACCAACAATAAACAGTCTGATGTTTATACACTGCGTAAAACCATGACATCACCTTACTTCATTTCTTTGATAAGAATGTCAATACCAGATCGTTGACCTTATTGATAAAACCTGTTGAGGTTTGAGTTTCGTTATAAGGACAGCTCCGTCAGGCGTATTCGTTTACTCGTAGCCAAATAACTGAACGGTTGAGGAACATCGAATACATATTTATTGATAAATATAAATTGCTACGGTATTATTAATTGAAACGTTGCATAAATGACAATGTGTTCAACGTGATGAACACTTTACATCACTGAAAAAGGAAATAACGAGTGACATACATATATAGGGAGGTAATAGTTATGGATTGTTACATTTAAAAACATGAAGAAGAACTAATTGGTTAGTCATGTAAAGGCGAATACAAAGATGCCAAAACAGTGCTGAAGTGGATGGCGGATTTCCGAAACGGAAGTACTAACACCTTCGATTGACAACAGCAGCCCAACCTCCGCTATACACGGTGCTATCAGAGAGGAACTGAACAGTGTCGATCGCTGTTAACTCAGTTGATTCGAGTGTTTGTCAATTGTTCAGAAGCAAAGGTTTCGAATCCAGGTCTGACCCCATCGTAATTTCCCTGCCTGTTCTATTATCGTAGGGCTTTTTGAAAGATTTTAAGTTGGTCCTAGCGTTATCACTGAAATTTTAGTATGCTTTATGCTGTGAATGAATGTTAGAAGTTTCATGCGTGTTAGCTTGGTGCTAACTGGTACAACTGACTAAAAATGTTTCCGTGCGGAACTTGTGGGTAACGACTAATGTAATAACAGGAAGTATGTGTGTGTGGTTTGTTGTAAATACACGTTTTATATCATAGAAAAAACACCTTCGTGAAAAACACCTTTCGTGACGAAGGAGACCTTACAAAAACCGTATTTGATTTCCAAAGGAATTTTGTAAATTGTATGTTCAAGAATCTTCAATATAAAATGTGTCAAGCGTACAATGATAAGTCGTTAAGCTGTTTAAAATGACTGTGTACAGTGAATTAAATTTCTGTCTGACGGCGTGTTTACAGCCTCAGTGATATACTATAACTACTGTGTCCGGTGATTTTACACAGTGATATCATCTTAGAATGATTCCACTGTGCATATGGAGGTGTGTAAGAAATAAGGTTTCACAATTCTGTTCTATTATATTTCTATGTTTCATATTTCCTATTGTTATAAGTGCAACTGTACTATTGCTAAGAAGATCAGACACGACCAAGTGATGACCTGGGCCGCTTTCGTTTATCGCGATAAAAACGTTTGATTCGGTTGGTATTCAATTGTTCGTTTGTTAAATAAGGTGAGACCTAGTAATACAATCAGATGATGTTTTCAGGAGAGCATTGAGAAAGCCTTGCAAGTCCTGCATGAACTTTTTCAGGTCTGCCAGGATTTACACCAAACATGTTAAATTTAAAAACAGATGAACCGGTTGTTCCGCATAAACGATCAGGAACCTGGAATTTAAAACCCTATACCCGGTAATTTTTCTAAAGGCGTCCAGTGGGGGGTGACCTTATATTAGTAAATTGTTCGATAGGTTTGTTGAATTGATGAATGTACAGGTGAATTGGATAGTGGATAAAGAAATGTGCTTAGCTTCAATGATATCTATAAAACTGTTTGGGAACTTAAAGTCGATGTAATGAAATTAGCGATTAAATCCGCTACAATCTAATTGCCTTCCAAACTATTTAATCAAAAAATACATTTGCCCTAACTTAAATTTAAAATAAAATTACGAAGCAACTAGACTTTTGGCTGTATAAGTCGTTTTTTGCTTGAGTCAGGAAATATGACGCATGCGTGTTTATAGGTAATAAAAAATCCTTTTTTTAATTGTTTAAATAATAGCAATAACAACGTCTGAAATCCTATGTACCCTATCATATCGCTCCATGACGCAGCATGTGTAATTTTGAAACAACAGGAAAGCAAATTCAACTCTTTATGAATCCGTTTTGGGGCCTATATATACGTATTTATGTCGACCAACTCGGTCAAATATATTATATCCTACCTACAATATCCCCTTACAGCGAACCACAAGATCAACACATGTAGGCCAGAGACGGTACTAGCTGGCCGAAACATACAGGATTAAGCTGGTTCAGACCTGGTAACTTGTGGTTCTGCCAGGGCATTTAAAACATACGGGCATTTAAAAAAAGCTATTCATTGTTTGGTACTTTCTCCAGCTAGTCAATAGACCGGTTAAGTTGATTAATAGGTCTAGGCTTAATAAAAAGAAAACTGCTGTTTTATTTTTAACATTTGAGGACTAGCTGAGCTATACCCAACAACAGTATCTCAAAGAAAATCAAAGAAACCGGTTTAGCATGAAACATTATAATCAACAGAGTGTTGTTTTGTACACTTATGTGACCGTCCGTTTTGATCTTTGATAGTGATATCAAACTTAGTTAATTATGTATAGGTAAAGGTAGCATAAAGTTAGGTTTGATTTTGTTTGTATGAGGGTAAACTATTAGGACTTGTAATAGAAACCTTCATTTCGCATTCACATATATTAAAGATGAGCTGTATTTGAATTACAATAAGTGTATTGACCACATCGATCAATGTACCTGAGCTTGAAATCCAGGGCACTACAGACTCTCCTACTACAGCAGCTTACCTCGATATTAACTGACAACATGAAACACAGGGATGGCTTACTACTGAGATGAAGGATAGGCGAGAAGATTTCGATATCCGTTCGTAAACTTTCCCTTTCTGTAAAGTAACTTCCCTACACACGGTATTCAGATTACGCAGTTGATTATAATTTGGCCTCCGTGATAGATGTTGACTGCTGACGGAAAACTAACAACACAAAGTTCCAAAGATGGACAAGTTTTATAGTCCCAATCAGGATCTCATTGATGAATATGTTATCTCTTTGTGTGATGTGGAGGTCGATGTTTTATATTATGCTCATCAGCATGGCTTGTTTTTCCTATTGTCACTACCCCAGTTCTCCCTTTGGGGACGTAACATTATTTGGATTTGACTTAGTTTTGGACGGCGTGTGTCGTCGATTAAAAACTGAAGACGCTTACACATCTGGAACATCTGGTCTTATTCTCCTTGGTCTTTTCAAGGGTCTCCATGTAAATATTTCCTTCTCTTATTTTGTCCTAGTTTTATCGATTTTCAGTTCGGATGACAGTTCTATTGATACTTGGTTATTATCTTATTGTTTTTTAATAGGTACAATGTGATAATGACAGTATGGTTTAATATGGGCACTGGATCACAATGAACAAATGTTCGTTGGGTGCATATTACTAAAATAATAATCTTTGAGAAGGTACGTTCCTTAAGTTGCTTTAATTGTTATGAATACTGTGCTGTGACATTGCACTAGTATCTTACCGCAGTGAAGCTTATCTATCACTACACTAAAGCACACTCAATAATTGAACACAGTGTCCACCACTTTCTACTTCAAGCCTGGTGTTGTTTCCCTGCCGAATGCATATTTTATATGCATTTCATCTACAGTCATACAAAAACAATTTTATGTTGCATGCCTTTTTAGGAAGTTAGAACATTTGACATCATTTCAAATGTCAGGACCGATAGCAAAATGGATACTCTCTACTTAGTTAAAAGTTAAAAGGTATGGAGATCGAGTCACCGAGGCGAAGATGTTCATTTTTTTCTTTTCTTAAAGCAAGAAAATAAATAACTTTCTATGTATATGACTCTTTGCTTCTGTAAATGGGCAAACAACTCTATATCAGAAAATTGCCGACTACTCCGATTGCTGGGATTCTCTTTGTTTTCCTGAACGAACAAGCATTTTGGGAGGGCAGTCTAAAAAAAACTGAGTTTATGAATTAAGTATTTCACCTTCGTATGATCCTGTATGTAGTTGTTGCGAAGGCGTGATACCCTGTACAAAACAAAAACAAAGCATTGACTATAATTAGCCTGACATTATTCGCCATTGTTATCGTTTACTTTGAATGCGCTCTGATCGTAATCATTGTTCTGGTGTTTAATTAGCATTGTCCACGGTATAGCCATTGTGTTGTCAACATACCAGGTTATTGTGACGAGTATATACTGGGGTCTGGAGCTCCAGTAATACATTGTATGTGTGTTATAGAATACAAACACATCAGGTACTCTTCAAAACATCCCAGAACGATGCGCCGGGCACAGATATCATTTTCCGGGGCAGTGGACCTAAACACGTTTGATTTACCCGCCGCTGTTCGGCGAAACGAACGGAACCCGTTTGCGTTAGAGAAAGAAGCATACTCGCTCGGAAGTGTACCGCAAAGGAAGTTATCTCCGGTGTTCGACGAGAGGAACCGCCCATCTCCCAGACCCCCGGAGGAGGATGCTGATTTGCTTCCAATTACAGAACAACCAAGGCCGCTAAGGCGAATCAGGCGTGAACTGGCTAGTCCCCCTCCTGACGATGAGTCGGAGAGAGAGAAGACACCGGGCAAAGGAAAGACAACTCTGCTCAGACTTAAACCGAACATGAGGACAGTCGAAGATGAACAGAAGGAAGAAACAACTCGGTATAAATCTTCCGCTGTATCTAAGTCTATTGTGGCGGCTAAGGAGGATACAGTACACGAAGGCAAACCTGTTAAACCTGTCACAGCTAAACCTGCAAAAGTTAAGGTACGTTTTATTTATATTTCATAAATTTCCCCGAATAGTTTTTATATGGTAAGGTCTGACCCTAACCTTCCATTGTTACTCTTGAAAGATTTCATACATTATAGATTTTTTTTACAAATAATTATGATTATCACAGTAAAATATCACCTATCATGAATCAGTCATATTTTGAGACAGAGCTAACATGATTATTTAAGTCAAACAAATTTTAGCTGCTGTGTACGTAGCTATCGCGGCTAATTCTGTGATACAAATAAGGTTGCATCAACTGTTATGTCAGTGCTTTTACCACGCATAGAAATGACACGGACCAGAACCCGATTTCGTGCTTTAATAAAAGTATTTTCTTTACATAATAAATGTTTTTTTTTCCTACGGGAAGACATATATTGTAGAAAAAAACCAAAACTTTGTTAGGATGTTTTGTGTTTCGGTTGTTATCTGGCAGACGATCCAACTATTCGGTAGTGAAGTTGAGGTAAATCTTTAAATCATCTATGTATATGATACTTGGATTCATCTTAACACTGTTTCTTTTGAATGCACTTCTGAACATTACAGAGCCCGATTCATATACAAGTAAATAGATAAGGACTTAGTGTGGATCCATGTAGACCACCTGTTACAAGCTGCTGTGGTGTGTCGGTAACGCTGTCAATTAAATACATTTTTAGCGTTCATTTAAATGTAAGATATTTTCAAACCTATAGCAAGCTGTGTGTTGACATTTAATTCCTTTCAATTTATGTCATAGCACTTCATACAATAAACAAATTGACAAATACTGAATAAGAACAATGGTCTTCTCCATTCATCATTGTGCACGTTTTCTACACTGATCTATAAATCCCGTTAAGCTGTTGTCCGGAGTTATTAGGACTAAAACCAGACTGTGTTAAATTGGGAAATCAAATTAACATAGGTTTCAATTTAAATGATCAATATGACATACGACTGTCGTGATGTAATGTTGTATGGTTGAGGTAGTTGATAGTAGGATGGAGACAATGATATGCATTATTGCTCTCACTCCGGTGTCATCGTCTCTCCCTTAAGTTTGTTCAGAGTTGTTTGACATCCAACATCCTCGATACTCCAGGGGTTACGCTCACATTCGCTCGCTGCGCCCCTAAAATATGTCATAATAAAATTGAAGGTTCAGTGTGCGCCACTTTATGGACTTTGATGTACACCAAAAGAACCTCGCGGTCGCGTAACGGTAAAATTGACTGACTTTGAAGTCGGGAGTCGCTCCTCTGTGATCTTCAAAGGACATGTATAAGTCTTAAGATTGGCAGTTGTTTTTACCTGAGACCTTTCAAATAGCTAGCCGCGTACCTTCAATTTTTCTATGACTTATCCCAGGGGTACAGAGAGCATAAGTGAGCGTAACCCCTGGCTGTCGAGGATGTACATTCAATGGAGCATGTTGTTAGTCATGTGTGTTAACCCACTCTGTTACTGTTTTACAGCCTGTAAGTGTGGCGTGGCCAGGCCAGGATGACTACTGTGCCCAGAGCTGTATTCTGTGGTGTTGCTGCTGTGTAGGGCGGACAAAGTGGCCACCTAAACGGCGCTGCTGTCGGGAACAGACGTTGTTTGAATTCTGTTGTCCCTGCTGTCGTGTACGTATCTGCTGCCCGTGCTGTGTGGAATGCTGCGACCGGTATTCATGCAGGACGTGTTGTGAAGGAATGGGTAAATACATGCGTAAGGAGTGTTGTGTCATATGTGTGGACATTTCAGACGACGAGGAGGAAGACAATAAAGACGACGAGAAAAGTAAAAAAAATGAAAAGGATAAAAAAGATGGAAAGGACAAAAAAGACGAAAAGGATAAAAAGGATGGGAAAAAGAATGTGGACGAAAAAAAGAAATGATTACAATTTAAACGTTATCAACCAAATTGTAAAGGGTGGTTTAAGATGGAATGTCTCTCCAGCTTCATCAACCAACCATGTATACAAATCGATAATATCTATATTATTTAATGCAATATTTATAATTTTGGAGAAGACCTTATAGAAGTTTAGTTTCCTGTCTTTTCCTTTGATTTATTTTCAAGAAAAAATCAAAATCGCTAAAAGATTCCCGGTATAGGTAGAATCTTCTATATGATGTGAAATAGGATTTGTATCAAATCAAAAGGAACCGATGGACACTCCTGGCGTTGCTTGACACTCAAGTCGTACGCTTGTTAGCTTGTTCAGTGTTCTACGTCCTTGCAATTCAGCTTCAAAGTCGCACGGAGACATAGTTCAGCATCAATGTAAAGGGTATAAAATAGCCACCACCAGCAATATAACGACAGGATTTGACGTTTTGCTTTGTACCTTTTGATGCAACTGATAGTGCTTTAGTAGTGTATTGTCAAACTATCATGATCAATGAAAGAATTACCATCGATGAAATGTATGTACCACATCATACATGTGTAGCAGTGGTGGATTTTGTAGATTGAACATCAACAAACACTGTGAGAGTTCTTCACGATTTATTATGCGTAGTTCCCATTCTTTAGACATAAATGATTAAAACCCTACAATTATATAATAATTACATTTCAGATATATGTATGGGATCTACAACTCATTCATAACGCACATATACATGTAGCACACTGTGAATTCACAAGAAGTTTTTTTAAGATGTTACATGTAAGATTATAGTTCTATAAATTATAAAAGTTTTATTACATCTAGATTAGCGTTATATTTACTGATACATATACACATGTAATATTGAACATATCATGTAAATCTTATCTTAGCTAAGTATTTATTGATACGGAGGTTACTTAATAAATAGACGAAGTGTACAATAAAATACATTCATCAATAATTACTATAAGTTTAAAATAGAAAACTGTGCCTATTTGTGGAACAGGGCCATTTGAAGTCGTACGGAATTATCCGAGGTTATTACGTGTACTCGTAATTTCTGTATGACAAAGAAACACGTATATATAAAATACAAGTAAAATGACGCTGTCCTGTCTTGTCTGCTTCGTCTAGACGTCATGTAGTCTCTCATAGTTATCGCGCCAACACCACCGGTCACACAAAATAAACAAAAAAAACCTTGACCATTGGCTAACCCAAGAGGTGACAACGGGATAACTTACAAAACTGACCAAAGACAAAAATATCTATAACCAAACCAATCCAAGAGGCCAAAATAAGGAAATAACTATACCACAATATGAAGATCGCTACATGTATTACTATATCAGAACATATGTATACACCGTAATATTATAAATATAGATATCACAAATATCGTCTCTGCCAAACATATGAAAAAGAATTACATCTGCTAAGATATACAAAGGCTTAAATTTTAAGACAAACAGTCTGGAATTTACAATGTAACTTTACATGGTAACTTTATAAGTTTCAGTTTCGTTTGAAAAAAATCTTACCATATTTTAGGGGCACGCACCAACAAAATAAAGAAATCAGCTTTTTGCTTGTCGGGGTTGGGTATTAAACAACAGTTCGCTCCCTTTAACCATAGCTAGACTGGTCTTTGGTCATAACAGTTGATCAACCATAAGACGATATTGTTGCACGTGTGATTTTTATAATATGTAAGTCAGAGTCATTGAGAAAATACTTATAACAAACACGTGTCATACCTGGGACCTTTAACTTGGTCATTGATAAAGATAAATAATGTCTGAAGGAAGTAAACCAACACTACAGGCTAAATATCATTCCGATACACCATATGAATCGCTGTTGGAAGATGTTTTTCTAATTTTGCTCACGAGACGTTTAATTACTCTGACCTCGTGAATCTATAGAAGAGATGATTGTTTATAAAATCTGATGAAATTTGATTCTAGCGAACTGGTTAGTACAAAATTATCAGACTTTTAGCAACCTTGCATAGAAACGCATGTACCGTTAATCTAGCAATTATATACTTGAATACCGTGACACCAGGATGCTACTGGACAAATATCATAACCTGACGACTCTTAACGTCATGTCACTTATTGATACCTGAAAGAAGTTGGATACCTGAAAGAAGTTGTTTGAAGAAAAGTTTGATGCCGAACGACGGCAGCTCTCCTGTTGCATAATTTCACATGCCCTTTGTGCCAGGTGAGCTGTTAACTCGTCCAAATTTCATTTTCCTGGGAAACTCGACGAATGTTTTAAAAAAAGGCAAGCCTTTTCAAATAAGTAGTTTTGAATTTAATCTGGTAAAAGGCTGATGAATAAACTTTTAAAATAAAGATCAACCGATATGAGAGTTAATGAAAAAAATACAACTTCAGTCGAATGAGTCAGTCAAGCAGCTTGTGAGAAAATGTTAGATTTATTTACGTTTTATCAAAAATAGAATGCTCTTTCGCTTTGATGTTTGTTGATGTTTTCAGCAGAAATCGTGCTGTGTTGTTAACAGTGTACAACATTAAACACACAATTTGTATACACAGACTGTTAGATATTAATGACGTCACTTGAACTTGGGTTTGTAAATTGGTCCTTTTATGTTACACTGGCTGATGTTACTGAGGGCCAAACAGAAAGTAACACATGTAAAAGGTCATGGGAGGTCAAATTGGGTCACAAAGGTCACGGGTTTATTGAGGGCGCCTTTGATCTAACGGTATCTCCTTAAGTGTATAGTATAGGTGTGACTTGTAACATTCCTACCAATTACCACAGCCGCCTGTATCCCCCCCGTAAGGACACATGCACACCTAAATGGTAGCTATTTGTCATTGTAGACAAAGCGATTTGTCATTCGTTTATCCGCCTACGTAAGTCTATAAAGGTGTATTAATAATTGTTTCACTCGACATTAAACTGTATAAACATCTGAATGAAATGTTCTTTTATATTGATTGGAGACTGCATTTTACTAAAACTAAAAAACAAATCGGGAATGATTTTCGATAAAAATCTTATTTGTTTAAAAGATAATGAATACAACAGGTGTATGTTTGTGGTTAAACGTCCCCGCAACAGCCATGGTAATATGAGGACACAACAGCCAGGGTCATATGAGGACAGGTGCCAAGGGAGACAACAGCCAGGGTCATATGAAAAATATGCCAAGGAAGACAACAGCGAGGGTAATATGAGGACATATGCCAAGGGAGACAATAGCCAGGGTCAAATGAGGACAGGTGCCAAGGAAGACAACAGCCAGGGTCATATGAGAACAGGTGCCTAGGGATACAACAGCCAGGGTAATATGACGACAGGTGCCAAGGGAGACAACAGCCAGGGTCATATGAGAACAGGTGCCTAGGGATACAACAGCCAGGGTAATATGACGACAGGTGCCAAGGGAGACAATAGCCAGGGTAATATGAGGACAGGTGCCAAGGGAGACAACAACCAGGGTCATATGAGGACAGGTGCCAAGGGAGACAACAACCAGGGTAAAATGAGGACTGGTGCCTAGGGAGACAACAGCAAGGGTCATATGAGGACAGGTGTCAAGGGAGACAACAGCTAAGGTCATATGAGGACAGGTGCGCAGGGAGACAACAGCCAGGGTAATATAAGGACAGGTGCCAAGGGAGACAACAGCCAAGGTAAAATGCAGAATATGCCAAGCAAGACAACAGCGAGGGTCATATGAGGACAGGTCAATACGGAGACAACAGACAGGGTCATATGAGGACGAGTGCCTAGGGAGACAACAGCCAGGGTCGTATGAGAACAGGTGCCTAGGGAGACAACAACCAGGGTCATATGAGGACAGGTGCGCAGGGAGACAACAGCCAGGGTAATATAAGGACTGGTACCAAGGGAAACAACAGCCAGGGTAATATGAAAAATATGCCAAGGAAGACAACAGCGAGGGTCATATGAGGACAGGTGCCTAGGGAGACAACAGCCAGGGTAATATGAGGACAGGTGCAAAGGGAGACAACAACCAGGGTAAAATGGGGACATATGCCAAGGGAGACAACAGCCAGGGTAATATAAGGACAGGTGCCAAGGGAGACAACAGCCAGGGTAATATGAAAAATATGCCAAGGAAGACAACAGCGAGGGTCATATGAGGACAGGTGCCTAGGGAGACAGAAGCCAGGGTAATATGAGGACAGGTGCCTAGGGAGACAACAGCCAGGGTAATATGAGGACAGAGGACAAGGGAATCAACAGCCAGGGTAATATGAGGACATGTGTCTAGGTAGTCAACAGCCAGGTTAATATGAGGACAGGTGCAAAGGGAGACAACAGCTAGGTTAATATGAGGACAGGTGCCAAGGGAGACAACAACCAGGGTAAAATGGGGACATATGCCAAGGGAGACAACAGCCAGGGTAATATAAGGACTGGTACCAAGAGAGACAACAGCCAGGGTAATATGAGGACGGGTGCCAAGGGATACAGCAGCCAGGGTCATATTAGGACAGGTACCTAGGGAGACAACAGCCATGGTCATATGAGGACGGGTACCCAGGGAGACAACAGCCAGGGTCATATGAGGACATATGCCAAGGGAGACAACAGCCAGGGTCATATAAGGGCAGGTGCCTAGGGAGACAACAGCCAGGGTCATATGAGGACGGGTGCCTAAGGATACAATATATAAATATGAATGTCATATCTATTTTGTTACACCAAAATTCTTTGTAGCTCAGAAACGGCAGCAAACCTCGATAATGACATCTTGTTTGTTGATAGTCTGCTGTTTACAATCGCTATCGCATCGGCGCTTGATGAAATTGTCTGTTGCCGTCAAACGTTCTTGTGACCATCACGGTGAGGAAACGGAGCGGTGCACCCACATTTTTCGCGCATGTGATATTTTTCACTGTCTCATGGAAATATCACCCGCCCCCCTTAAAACCAATGTATTTTCGGAGGGTGACAGAGATTTTTGTTTAATTTTCTCCCAACCAATCAAATAGCTAGAAAATCACTTGAGGTGTAACAACAGCTAATGTCATATGGGGACAAGTGCCAAGGGAGACAACAGCCAGGGGTCATTTGAGGACAGGCGCCTAGAGAGACAACAGCCAGGGCAATATGAGGACATATGCCAAGGGAGACAACAGCCAGGGTCATATGAGACGGGTGCCTAGGTAGACAACAGCCAGGGTCATATGAGGACGGGTACCAAGGGCGACAACAGCCAGGGTCATATGAGGACATATTCCAAGGGAGACAACAGCCAGGGTCATATAAGGACAGGTGCCTAGGGAGACAACAGCCAGGGTCATATGAGACGGGTGCCTAGGTAGACAACAGCCAGGGTAATATGAGGACAGGTGCCTAGGGAGACAACAGCCAATGTCATATGGGGACAGTTGCCAAGGGAGACAACAGCCAGGGTCATATGAGGACAGGTGCCTAGGGAGACAACAGCAAGGGTAATATGAGGACATATGCCAAGGGAGACAACAGCCAGGGTCATATGTGGACAATTGCCAAGGGAGACAACAGGGTCATTTAAGGACTGGTGCCTAGGGAGACAACAGCCAGGGTAATATAAGGACTGGTACCTAGGGAGACAACAGCCAGGGTCATATGAGGACAGGTGCATAGGGAGACAACAGACAGGGTCATATGAGGACGAGTGCCTAGGGAGACAACAGCGTAGATAGAGGTATGATACATGTTAAACGTAGATAGAGGTAAGACACAGGTTGTTTGTAGATAGAGGTAAGAACACAGGTTGTATGTAGATAGAGGTAAGGACACAGATTGTGATAAGATAAAGCTCAG